GGCCTGAGACTGCATTTTGTTCCTTCTCTTTGTCATTTTGTATACCACTGTCTTCTGACCTTTGGTGTAGAGCTTAGATAGAGTTAGTACCTTAGCACCAGGTGTGGATCTACGAAGTTCCGATTCTTCCTGGTGGGTGTTGCTTGGATCTGGCTGCTGTGCTCCACTTTTTTCTGCTGCAGCCGTTAGACTTGAACCCTTTGTGTCTCTCTGGGAAGATGTTCTGCTCCTCAATCAGCTGGGTGGGTCTTGCCTCTAGCCTCTTTGCAGGGAGTTCTGTTGAAGGGTTCCGTGCTGGGCCTGCGCTCTGGGTCTATTCAGGATCCGGAGGACCCCAGGTCATCTCACTCACTTGCCGGGCCTGCGCTCTGGGTCTGTTCAGGATCCCGCAGCCTAGGTCCTCTCACTCACTTGCCGGGCCTGTGCTCTGGGTCTGTTCAGGATCCCGCGGCCCCGGTCGTCTCACTCACTCGCCGGGCCTGCGCTCTGGGTCTCTTGATATATAATCTTATTGATGATTTACTGCATTCTGTTTGCCAGTATGTTATTGAGGATGTTTGTATCCATGTTCGTCAGGGAGATTGGCCTGTAGTTCTCTTTTTTGGTTGGGTGTTTTCCGATTTTGGTATCAAGGTAATACTTGTTTCCAGGAATGACTTTGGAAGTCTTGCTTCCTTTTCAATTTTATTAAAGAGTTTGGGGAATAATGACGTTATATCTTTTATAGATTTCTTGTAGAATTCATCAGGATCTAGGCTTTTTTTCTTTGTTGGTGTTTTTAATTACATTTTCAATTTTATTAATTTATATTGGGCTATTTAGAATCTATATCGCTTGATTCATCCTTGGTAAATCATGTTTATCTAGGAATCTCTCCATTACTTCTATATTTTCCATCTTATTAAAGATTCTCAAAGTAGGTATTGATGATCTTCTGGAATTCCAGAGGTTTGATTGTGATTTTACCCTTTTGGTTCCTAGTTCCATAAATTGAGTCTTTCCTTTTTCTGATAAGGGTGACTAAGAATTTATCGATTTTATTTAATCTTTCAAAGAATCAGCTCTTCTATTCATTGGTTCTTTGCACTTTTCTTAGTCTCACTTGGCATTAATTTCTGCTCTTACCTTTTACATTTTTTTTTAATTTTTATTTGTTTATTGTGTGTGGCCAGCTCAGTCCACCAGGGGGGCGGGGCTGGCTGGCATGTGGTGTTGGGGGATTGAACCGCGGTCCCTGTGCTTTGCTTGGCTTAGCTTGTTCTAAGTAGGAGCTTGAGACCACTGAGCCATCTCACCAGCCCTGCTCTTACCTTTATAATTTCCTTCTTCTTACAGTCTTTGGCTTGACCTGTTTTTCTTTTTCTATGTTTGACTTTCAGCATCAGGTTGCTTATTTGAGCTCATCCTGTTTTTCTGATATGGGAATTTACCACTATAAATTTCCCTCTTAGGACTGCTTTCATTGCATCCATAAGTTCCAGTATGTTGGATTGACTTTATCATTTAATACTGTTTAATTTCTTCTATAATTTCATCTGTGACCTACTGTTTTTCAGCAGGTTGTTGGTTTTTTGTTTGTTTGTTTGTTTGCGGAACCTGGGATTGAACTCAGGCCCTTGTGCTTGCCAGGGATCCACTTATTCTACTGAGCTGTCTCTCCAGCCCCAACAGGTTATTTAATTTCCATATGTTTATGTAGCTTTTGTCGTTTCTTTTGCCATTTATTTCCAGTTTCATTGCACAGTGTTCCAATAAAATGTATGGAATAATTTTAATCTCTTTGTATTAAGCATATTTTGTGGTCTATTTTGGAAAACATCCCATGTGCAGCTGAGAAGAATGTATATTCTGATGTTGTGGGGTAGAATACTTTGTAGACATCTACCAAGTCCATTTGTTCACAGGTTTGGTTCTGATATTTTCTTATTGATTTTTTTGTCTGGCTTCTCTAGCTATTTGTGACAGTCCCCCATTACAACTGTGTTAGTACTTATTTGATTATTTTGTATCCACTAATATTTGTTTTATATAGTTGGATGCATCTGATTTGGTTCGTGTATATTTATGATTATTGTCTCATCATCTTGGAGTTTCCCTTTATAAGTATGTAATGACTTTCATACCTTTTGAAGAGTATTTCAAAAAAAGAAGAAAAAAAAAAAAAAAAAAGACAGCCATCCAAAAAATGCCAATAGAAAGTATCCACTAGGCAAGACAAACAGTTAAACAGAGGGGAAAGATGGAACTAATAACAAGAAAATAAAGTGACAAGGGTAAATCAATACATATCAGTTAAAAACTCAGTGCAAATGGTCTGAATTCACGAATCAAAAGAGACAGACTGGGGTTAGGGATGTGGCTCATTGGTAGAATTCTTGCCTTCATGCACAAGGCCCTGGGTTTGACTCCCAGTACCAAAAACACAAACAAAAAGAAACAGACTGGCAGAATGTATCAACAAGCAAGATCCTACACTAGGCTGCATGTAAGAAACACATGCAACTGAAAAAGAAATTCAGACTAAAAGTCAAAGGATGAAAAACAATACTTTATGTGACAGGACCCCAGGAAAAAGCAAAGCTGGCTATCCTATTTGTAGACAGAGTGAACTTCAAGCTAAAACTGATCAAAAGAGACAACATACTGATTAAGGGAAGATAAATAATTTATATTTGTGGCTCTGTAAATGTGTTATAGAAAAGATAGTTTATAATTATAGTAAAGAGAAATGTACCACTGTCAAAATATTTCATAAGGACAGTGGTTCTTCCCAAGTTCAGATAAAAAATACTCTTTACATTTACTCTATCCAGCCTGGGTTCAATACCTGGTACCACATGTTGTGATGACCCAGCTGAAACTGGGCATGGTCATACCTGTAATCCCAGAGCTGGGGAAGCTGATACAGGAGGATCACTATGAGTCTGAGCTGTGTAGTGAGACCCTGTACCAAATAAGTAAATGCATTTATTCTATCCAAAGTGGGAAACTCATTTTTTATCCCATTTAAAAAACAAAAAAGAAAACTTGAATTTTCCAGATACTTTTTTTATAATAGCATTGTTAATACCACTTTATGTAATGTATTCTGGTAGTTTTTAAAGTGCCCCCCTTTTGTTTTATTTACAAGTTTAAAGCTTGTAAATATGATCATGAATTTAAAGAATGTTGTAATGTTTGGCTAGGGTTCTAGCTCAGCTGTACCAGTTAATAAAATGGTTGGTCATCAATAAAGACATCATCTTTGCCTTTTTACTTCATTTGTGATTTGAGCAGAATACTTCTCTAACTTACCAAGATTTTTAAATTAAATGCTATTTGGAAATTCGGAGCATTATCAACAAATAACTAATAATGGCTTTCCAAAGTGTGACTTTTCAAAGTGGGAAATTTTTTTTTTACATTTGTGATGTCTTTTTCTCGAATTTTTGTTCAAGTATTTAAGTTTTATTGTCTATTTTCCTATCCTGTTTCCCTGTGGGGATTCTGATTAATCTTTCCTTCATTAATGCTTTCTCTGCCAGGCACTGTGGTAAGTATAGAGTTTGTGTTGCTACCTTTCAGGAACTCAGAATCTAGTGCAGAAGACACATACTGTTTTTGTTTAAGTTACTCTATAGTGCCATTACTGATAAAAAGATCACCAAAACTTCCCCATATCATTGTTTAGAATAAAACTAGTAATTCTCATTTATCCAGAACAACACTGTCAAAATCAGAGATGGGAATGTAGAAGCCAACAACTACATGTGGTTGCTTAGTTCTCTGGTGAACTGGCCTCTTTTGTCCCATGCAGTGACATACAGTGCTAATCGGCCATCGATCGTCCAATTGTACTACACCATGTAAAGCTAGTATGTTCCCAAATAGGTTAATCAGCCCTTGATTTAGAATTTAAAATGTATTATATAGTAATTTGATTCTGACTTTTATATAGTCAGAACTTTTGATTTTTTTTCTTCCTTTTTCTTTTTTTCTTTTCTTTTTTTTTTTTTTCCTTTTCTTCTTTGCTTTTTGTTTTTCTTGTAATATTGCAGTTTGGACCAGAAAATCCTTTTAGAACACAACAAATGGCTGCTCCTAGAAATATGCTTTCTGGATATGCTGAGCCAGCTCATATCAATGATTTCATGTTTGAACAGCAAAGGAGAACTTTTGTCACATATGGTAAGGTTATGGTAAGACTAGTTTAAGTGGGGCTTTACTGGAAGAATGAGTTTTTCATGCCACTTTATCATCTTTGTATCTATGAGACATATCAAGAAGGTGACATATGAATTCAGTTTTATCTAAGTGTCTGTATACCACTGCTGGGATATAGAACAAACATTGATCCTAATGACTTCTGGAACATTTATATTCTATAATACATTTAGTATACTGTAGAGCCAACCTGCAGAGTAAGTATCAGCAAAAACAGTCTCATTCACTTTTTATTTTGGCTTTTAGCTCTAATATATGGGATTTCTCTTGCTTGAGTCTTCACCCTCAACAATTTATATAACTTCTGTTGTCCCACGAGTTCCCTTTTCTCCCTCAGTTTCTGCCTTCTGTTTATGTTTCTTGGGGCCTTTCAGTGTGAGCTCTACATTCCCTCTGAATTTTCTCTACACTAGGTAAATTACTTTAGTCTCACCATAGCCATTATTAACATGAACTTTTAACTTCAGTATTAGATGTATTAACAATTTTAATATTAAAAATATTGCCATCGTTTATGTGACAAGTTCTTGTATCATTAGATTTCAGGTTCCAGTTTGCACATTTAAAAATGTGTAGTGAAATGCCTTTTAAAACGCTGGGATGCAGTGGCCAGGGTTCTATCCCTGGTGTGCCCTGCCGGCCCCACCCCCAAGGTGTGCTGAGATGGTGATTGAGATTGAGCATGGTAATGCACACCTGTAATTCCAGCACTTAGGAGGCTGAAAACAGGAGAATCATTAGGAGTCTGATCTACATAGTGAGGTCCTGTATATCCTGTGGACCCTGCCCTAAAATTCATTTTAAAAAAAATAATAATAATGTTGAGATGCAGTAGTGAATTTTTTGTGTAAGATTTCATAGATTTTTTTATTATCTTCTTAAATGAATTCCCAAAAGCCAAAGAATATAAATGTTTTTGAACCTTTTATTATATATATCATTACATTGCTTTCTAGAAGAATTCTCCTAAATTATTCTACTATCCCCACGCTAAAATCACTGTGAGTCCAAAATACATAGTGAGACCCTGTATCAAAAATAAAACTTATTTTTTTATAAAGTTCTCTTTCTCTTTACCAAAGATCTGTGTGATTGTTTCTTCCTTTATTTGATAATCAGAATTTTATTGTCTTTTTTAAATTTTATTTTTCTGGACTAATGAGGTTGAAGCTTTTTTCACATATTTATAATATTCCTTTGTAAATTGTTTATTGTTTAGAATATTACTATTGGTAATCTTAGGGGTATAGTAACAAAATTGGTATTGTAGCTCTTTCGCATAAAACTACCAAGAGGAAGAAAGTAGACATTAACTCCATTGCAGAGATAAAATGGAAGATAAGCTTCAAAATATCTGTGAGCATGTTTAAGAATTACAGTGGAGATATATTTGTGAGTGGAAGGGTAAATACCTATCTAGGTTGAAATTCTGTAATGTTATTAGAGTTAGATCTTGTTCTATCACTGACTGATTTCTGGTAGATGACTAAGTGATTTCTCTTGTTCATAGAAAAAAAAATAAAAATATTTGGAGTAGAGTTGGTGGGCGTGGCATTTGCCACAGAAGATGTGGACCTGGAAGAAAGTATGAGTTCCTTTGCTCAGGAACAAGATTATGGTCAGATGAATTGGGATTGGTGACTACCCAGAGATGAGAAGGACCAAAAACATCCTTCCCTCTCTCTTTCCAAACATATCACAACAGTACCATACCATTTTACATAAATCTCCTTTTGAAGTAGAATTTACACTTTAGATAAGACTTTATGGTTGAGATGGGAATTTTTAGCTTATGATATGTTGAACTAAATTTTATATAAGCCTCATAAAAGTCACATTAAGAAAAATCATGTACAGAACACTATTCTGTACATCAAAAAAGTGAAAGCTAAAATAACTCATAGGATTTGAACCTGTGATTTCAGAGATTCTACTCCAAAGCTCTTTTTCTGCCATCAAGCTCTCTCCACTGGCTAAGAACATATTTTAATGCTGAAAATTGTATGAGCAAATGAACTAATAGCCAGGTGGTTGGTTCTATTCTTGCATATCATAAGGGTGAGTTGAGCACCTGCATCCTTGGCTTGTTTTAAAAATGTTTCACTGACAAATCTTTTTTTATTCCCCCAAACAAACTCCCTTTAATCTTTAGCTAAGAAATTCAAATATTAACATATCTTCTAGGATGTGCTCTTTTTAAAAAATGAATTAGTGCATTTAATGTATTGCATATCATTTATATGCGTGAGTTATGAACCACAGATTTATCAACAACGTATCATTCCTTTATGATAATTATGAAACTTATTATATCAAACATACATACTTAACAAAAAACTAAATTGAATTTACTTATGTAGACCTTCCTTAAGTTTCCCTAGAACACTAGGACCACACTTATATGTAACTAAGCACTCTATAGCCAGTTGAAATAAGAGTATTCATTTGATTATGGATAACCTTACTTCTCTTACTAAGGAAATATGAATAAAAAGTAATTTATCAAGTCAAAATATATTAAGATTAGAAGAAAAACTGTCCTTACTGAAAATGGCATTTTCAGAACAATATCTAGATTTTATATAATCTTTTTAGTGTTTCCTTTTTTAATAGTTCATATAATTTAATAAAGCCCTCTAATATCCAGCACCAAAAAGCATAAGGGAATAGCTTCTAAACTTCCTAATACATGATGTACATGTATTTTTTTTTAAGCTTTTAGAATATTTGAAACTAAATTTTGGTTTCATGGTCCAAAAGGCTCTTAGTAATGTAGTGTCAACATGGTGGATTCATCCTGTAAAATGCTTTTTTCTCTGCTGAAGTCATTCATAGTGTGGCCTGAAAATTGAGTTAATTGTTCTTAATAGAAATGGAGGTCAGGAAGAAAGGATTAGTCCTTAAAGAGACTGTTTTTAACCCTTGAGGAGGAAAATGTGAAGTGGATATATTTGTATAGTGATAAAATGAATTACAAATGGCAAAATGCTATCAGTAATTTGCACTTATTTCCTATAGGTTATGCATTGGATCCTTCATTAGATAATCATCAGATGTCTGCCAAATATATTGGTTCTGTAGAAGAAGCTGAAAAAAATCAAGGTAATTTATTTTAAATATATCTAATACATACATATAATTACTTAAAATTACATCTTGCATTAGACAGAAAAGGCTAATATTTTATTGAGTCCTTGATTTAAAAAAAAAAAAAATGACAGTGATACAGAGTGATACAGTTTAGAGCAATGTGGTTTAGAGCTATTACGCTTTGGAACTTGCTTTTGCCACCTACTAGCTGTGCTGTCTTGTCATGAAAATAGAGGTACCTAGCTAGCTCTGTGGAGTACTTGGCAACCATGCCAACCCTGTAAAAATCATTCAGTACATTATAATTTAATGTAGAGATAACTTTGACAGTGATTTTCTCAGCATTTATATCAAGTTACATTTTAGTAGAGAAGAAAAATTTTATTTTGGGGGCTGGTGAGATGGCTCAGTGGTCTAGAGCACCTACTTAGAACAAGCTTAGCAAAGCACAGGGACCGCGGTTCAATCCCCCAGCACCACATGCCAGCCAGCCCCGCCCCCATGTGGACTGAGCTGGCCACACACACACACACAAATAAATAAAATAAATAAATTTTTTTTAAAAAAAATTTATTTTTGCATCTATGAAAGTTGTCTCTCAAGTCATTTGACAGAAATCTAATTTAAAAGAATTTAAATCTGTTCTAGAATAATGTTTTTGCTTTTGTTTACTGTATATGTATTATTATAAGGCATCATACTCTATGTTAACCTGTAACAAACTTATCAGAACATTGGAATCTTAGCTATAAAAGTCATTTTTAAAAAAGAATGTGCTAGTTGCCCAGGAATACTTCTACTTATTGAAATAGGTGGTCAAGCTGTCTTGTGAATGAGCTAGGTTCTTGTTAAATTAGAATTCTAGCATGCTTTGGTTATAACATACAGTCTAAAGACAGTGATTTCAATTAAATAGATCTTTTTCTTTGAAATTAGATTTCTCTGAGTTACTTCTATATGTAACTGTACTCTTAACTTTTCACCATGACTTCCATAAAGCTTTTTTCCAACTTAGTGACTGTTCACAGTGTGTTACCTCCCTTAGAGCAAAGCAAAACTCAGAGACATCCTCCTCCTTTCTCTTTACTGTAAAGATTGATGATCTGAAGGTTGAGTTTAGATTCATATTATGTGGAAGAAATTCAAGACTCTTGTGAAATCTTGTTTAATGTACAATGTTGAATTACATGTGAAGTAGAGATAAGCATTTACTGCAATTCAATTTAATTCCATTTTTAAATGGCTCTAGTTTATTCTTGGTTCCAAAGGTAGTTACATCATTATTTAGTGATATTGAGTTGCTGGGTTTCTTTCAAAACTGGTAAAAGTCTACTGGCATGGGTTTTTGAGTCATTAGGGAGGCTATATATCATTGTAGAATTACATATCTATTTTTAATATATGAATATTTTCAATGATGTAATGATGTAGCAATCCTTCCTCCCTCAATAGGTTAAAAACCATTTTGTGTTGTATAGTTTGAAAAATGGGCAAATTCATGTTGATTTTTTATTGTTGTTTTGTCATTTAAATAATCACCTTTTTATAGATAGATTTGTCATTTCTTTTTGATATTGTTAATATAGGTTTAACTGTATTTGAAACTGGTCAGAAGAAAACAGAAAAGAGAAAAAAATTCAAAGAAAATGATGCATCTAATATTGATGGTTTCTTAGGACCATGGGCAAAATATGTGGATGAAAAAGATGTAGCCAAACCTTCAGAGGTAAGCTTTGAGGTTTTGCATTTTCAGTTCAGATGTGCACTAGGTCTCTGTGAAGTATATGTGTTTTAATAAACCTGAGATTTCCGTAGAGAGACAAGTGATCAAAATTTCTATCTTCATGATTGAAAAATTATAGTAAAATTTCTTTTTCTTATAATATTGATATTGGTCTTTCTTCTGCTTTATTTTATGCTATACTTTTTAATTAGAATAGAATATTGAACCTTTTTAAATAAATCACCTTAATAATGCTCTTAAGCTACCATGGTTACTATTATTCTGAAACCAGATACTCAAATAACTAGAGAATCAGAACTTCTATCATATTGAAATTGATGAATCTCACTATTTTATTTTGAAGTCTTAAATTTTATCTTTGTTTTTACAAAATAATATAAATTTTATAAAATAAAACTATAGAATTCTTTCCCTTCCTCACATTCATAATGCCACTGTACTATAACCATTATGCATTCAATGCCACTTTGTAATCTGTAATCAGTCTTTGTTTACAGAAGAGTTAAGCTTGTCGTCCTGGGAAACATACTTGTACCTATGGCTTCACAAAAGTTGGCCTCATTGTAAAGAATTTTTAATCAGCTTTGGACATGATGAGGTTCTCAAACTTTCATTTTTAAATTCACTCTTTCATCTTTTTAGGAAGAACAAAAAGAATTGGATGAAATCACAGCTAAGAGGCAGAAAAGAGGCAAACAAGAAGATGAGAAACCTGGAGAGGAGAAAACTATCTTACATGGTAATTTCTTTTTAATGTTTCTTCATCTTTATGAAAATTTCATGTTTACTGTTCTCTGTTCATAGATCAATTGCCCTGTCAGTTGCTTTAAAATCATTGTATTCGGGCTGGGGAGATGGCTCAGTAGGATAAGCACTTCCCTGGCGAGCACAAGGGCCTGAGTTCAATCCCTGGTTCTGCCAAAAAATAAATAAATAAATAAAATCATTGTATTCATTGAATAATTTCTATCCAAAGAAGTCCTATGCAGAATCTTCTTTGTACTTGAAAAAAATCTCTCATGATTAATGTCAGCTATAGATAATTCTTTTTTAATTAGTAAGTTTTTTAAGAGTCATTAAAGAAGAAATTTGAATGGTCTGTAATCTGTTCTTTCCTAAGATAAAATTGAGTCTTTTGTTGTATTAATCATGCCTCAATCACTTAACTGCTTTTAACAAAAGCCAAATACTTAGTTATTACCACAGTTTATAACTTACTAAATTAAATTTTAAAAGAAAAAACTTTTTCATGTGAGTAGATTGAAGGTTATTTTGGATTGTTTATTTTTTTTTTATTTTTTTTTTATTTTTTATTTATTTGAGAGAGAGAGAGAGAGAGAGAGAGAGAGGTGTGTGTGTGTGTGTGTGTGGCCAGCTCAGCCCACCAGGGGGCGGGGCTGGCTGGCATGTGGTGCTGGGGGATTGAACCGTGGTCCCTGATGCCTTGCCAAGCTTGTTCTAAGTAGGTGCTTTAGACCACTGAGCCATCTCTCCAGCCCCTGTTTATTAATAGTCATACTCAGGGAAATGCACAGTAATCATCTAAAACTGTAAAGAATAACTCAACGATGGTAGCATTACTTATTTTTTATGAGTTTGTTTCTGGACCTTTGGTTTTCTTTTTTAAAGTTTACTTAAGTTTATTGATACAGTCTAGGTACATAAAATGATCACATTCATTATAGGGAATTTGTATGTGTACATGATCAGATATTTCTAATCTATGAAGCTGTATTTGGTTCTCAAGATCCAATTCTATATTCAAGGAGTTTATTACTACTATGGTGCTCACAACCACAACAACAGTAATAGAAAATCTTCAGTGCATACAGTCTGTGCCAGGCATGCTTCTTACTGCTATCTGAATAGTTTGTCACTTGTACCTGTGACTGTTTCCAGACCTAATGGCTCAGCCATGTAATCCTGGCACTCTGGGAAGCTGAGGCAGAAGGATCGCAAGTATGAGCCCAACCTGGGCAATTTAACAGCTTAGACCCTTTCTCAAAAGAAAAACTGGACTGAGGATATAGTTAGTGTGAAGGCCCTGGGTATAGTCCCTGTACCAGATAAGAAAGAGAGAGGGGGACATGGAAAAGAGGAATGCAAAGGAACCAGAAGGGAGTAAAAGTGGAAAACTAGAAAAAAGGATTTTTTTTTTTTTAAGTTCCTTTGTATCCTGTTTTGTTTCTGCTTCTTTACCAGTGACTCACATAAGACCCAGGTGTTATCTTTTGTTATCGTACTGTAATTATACGGCAGTGAGGTCTTCGTTATATTACTAAAACATGTGACTGAGTAAAAAGAAAAAAAAATCTTATTTAAAGGTCTGATACTCTCTGAGTATTTAGGAACTCCAAAATACTACCTCTAATTGTAAATGATTGCAAGTATTTCAGGCAGCTAGCTTTTTAGCTAACTCGATCTTGACGCTATCATCAGAATATTACTTCTTAAACCTTAATATGGACAACAGCCCCAGGAATGAAATAATTGTTTGCATCTTTAAAAATATATATAGATTTAATTTATATTTATATATTTCTTTCTTTTTCATTTTTGTTTCAGTTAAAGAAATGTATGACTATCAAGGCAGGTCCTATCTTCACATACCTCAGGATGTTGGTGTTAATCTACGGTCCACCGTACCACCTGAAAAATGTTATCTTCCAAAAAAACAAATTCATGTGTGGTCTGGACACACGAAGGTAAGCAAATTGGTTGTTTCTGCTTACTGTAAGGTTGTAGTAGTGAAGCCAGTGTAAAGTTTCAGCTCTTGATCAGAACAGTATTTCTGATAAAGATTTAGGAATGTCAACACAGAACAGGGAAGTCAGATTACAGATAACTGCAGTGTGAATTATCAGACAGGAATGACCAATCAGTCAGTCTTCCAGGCCCCGTGGCTGGGCCGACATCAGCATTCATGGCTCAGTACTGTGGTGGTCAGTGTCCAGCCCCCCAACTGTAGCCCAGTCCTTTCCCACAAGTTGCCGCCACAGTCATTTACTTGGGCACCCAGTAAGTAAGTAGTGGGCTGATGCTGGCATTTAGGCTCTTGCTTAACCTCAGTGATATTATTTGCTTCTTGGGGTTATCACATGTGAGAGATCACATTCCCAGTTTATAACCCGAGGTACTATTTAAACTAATGTAGAGACAAGGTATACCAAACCTTTTGATACTGACATTGTCATCTGCACTGTTTGAGCTGTTAATTTCCAGTTCTTTGCAGAGCAAAGAAAAAAAAAATTTTAAAAAGGAAAATAAGTCGGGGCATTAACCATTGATTGGCTCTGGGCTGCCTTGGGTGAGGAAGTCAGTATTAAAGGTTAAAAAATTTTTTTTTAATCTTAGTGTTGATAATCCCTTTCTCTTAGAATACTAATGAAGATTATTCTGAACCATGATGTTTAGAAAAATAGCAAATTAGGTTGCTTAAAATATACTGTTTTTCTTCATTTCTAGCTTTTAAGTACTTCAGGTTGGTAACTGTGATACTTTCTCACAGGGTGTCAGTGCAGTAAGATTATTTCCTCTCTCTGGCCATTTATTGCTGTCTTGTTCCATGGACTGTAAAATAAAGGTGAGTTTCAGTCCCAGAAAGAGAGTGCTGTACTGTGAAGCTATTGCTTTGGTTAAATCTGTTCATTTATTTACATATAAATGCAGGATTGTTAGGCAATTAAAGACTAATTCCTTTCTCTTAGGCCCTATGAATTGCTAGACTGCTTTCCAGACTTAGATTAAAATATGGCTCTGTGGTCCTGTTGGCGAGGCTCTATAAAGCTTGCACAGCTGATGAGACTGTAATCCAATCATTTCAGCCTTAGACACATGAATACTTAATCACTAATAATGCATTTTTAATAGAGGTTTTGGTATGTGACTGAGTTCATTTGTTTTTCAGGATCATAGGAGGTAGAGAGACACTTAGATAAAAATACCATGTTTTGAGAGTAGGCAATGCAATTCCTCCTTTTACTTTCCAATACTAGCAGACTTTGAGAAGCAGAAATGCTCCCAGCCCTTTCTCCTACTTGTTATAGCCTCAGGAAACTCCCATCTCTGCCTTCTCCTAAGCTAGTTAGTGTGATTAAAGCAAAATGAAATAAAACAAAAAATGTATGTCAACTTGAATATGTGGAAAACTTTGAAATAAAAAGTTTAAATCTGAAAAGATAGTTCTTATCCTTATTTTGTCTTCTTTGGGTCCAAATCATCTTCAGTGTTTCAGGAAATACCAGTATTGTTATACTCTTATGGCTTGAAAGGTTGAATCATTAGTTTTATCATTTGAAATAGTTCATGAATATTAGCAGTATATAACAGTAGCTTTTTTTGATGAGAATAGCCATTTAGACATTTGTCTCTAATAGAAAGTTTGTCTCTAAAGTTTTTAGCAAAGAATTCTTTACTTTGACTTCTATTTTATACAAACTCTATTAGTTGTTATTATGATCATCTCTTTAAAAAAGCATAGATTCAATTTGCTTCACATCTATAAACATTGTTACGTACTTATTAGGTACAAGGAAAAGTTAAAAAATATTACTAAGATACTATCTCTATACATACAGCAGTCATTTCATTATTATTCAAAGCTTAATATTAGAGGCAGACATAGGTGTAGATATTCTGATTTTAAAAAGGAAGCATACCTCCATTGGGTTAAGTAAAGAAAGGAGGAAGAGAATTTGGATATGGTTTGTGCTGAAAAATGTAAGTTTTGTGGTTGCTGGAGCATAAAATTTAAGAGACAAAGAATAATTATAGTCTTAGGCAAGGAACCAGGTCTCAGAGGTCCTTGCCTGGTATGCTGCAGGAACTGAGACTTTATCCAGTTGACCCTAGGTGGCCAGGAAACGCTATTTTTAAGCACTAATAACACTGTGAAGATTACATTTGAGGTAGACAAGAATAAAGCCAGTGTTGAAGCTTTATATTTGTCTACTCTAAAAATGATTAAAATTATGAGCTTATCATTATTGTCATACAGCTCCTAGAATATTTCTTTAGAAAAACACTCCCCAGATAAACCTTTTGATATCAAAATACTGTCCACATGGTGGTTTTAATAGCATGTAATTCCTTTTAAAGATAGTTAATAGTATTATAAAAGTAAAAACCTTTTAGCACAGAAAATATATAAAATATAGAAAAAGAACAATTAAGAAAATGAACCCACCTGGATTAACTCCATCCATAGTTCCCTCAGTATTTTGATAACTGATATGAAAAATCTTTAAAACTCCAGTTATAAGGTACGTTTATGTATGTATTCCAAATGATAAAACACAAACTTAGAGGATGTCACTACATTAATTAGATCTTCTGTAAATACCCTGAGTTTAAACCCCTGCACTGAAACAAACTTTTAAATGTTTCAATTATTTTTTTTCTCCAGCTATGGGAGGTTTATGGAGACCGACGCTGTCTACGAACATTTATTGGTAATGCCTTTTTTCTTTTCCTGGGCTATAAATCTATTTGAAAAGACTTTTTAAAGTAAGATGACCTTATAGACAGTAATTTTATTATATTATTGTGAAGGAAAATGTTTATAGACTTGAGCTGACCCTGCAAGAAGTAAGTCTCCCCAAGTAGACAAAGAGAACTTGAAAGTAAGAGTCACAAAAATGGTGTGAGAAAGCTTGCTGCTTTGGGGGAATCACGTATAATGCAGAATTGCCAGGATATAAGTAAGAAACAAAGTGGGGGAAAGTAGTGAGAGAGTTGATAGAGGATTGTGTATGTCCTTCATATCATTTAGACTTTATCCTAAGGCATCAAAGAGCCATTGAACAGCTCTTTTAGCGAAGTAGCATGATTGGAAATTTACAAAGACCACGTGGCGTTTGGAGAATACCTTAATAGAGTGAGCTTGGAAGATATGAATTGCAGTTATTTCATTGTTTGGTGTAGAAGTCACACGAATCTGAACCAAAGTAACAGAGATAAAAAAGGAAAAAACGGTTAAGAGTTGAATCAGTGAAATTTAGTGATGGATGGTGAATGAAAAGAAGTAGGAATCTAGGATGACTCCTGCATGGCAGGAGAACTATTGTGGCATTCACCAAGGGACAGAACATGGAGGGATTATAAGGTTTAGATCATTGCATCTGAGCTGCCAGTGGGATGTAGACAAGAAAATTTCCAGTGAGCAACAGCTGGATGTTGAGCTTCGAAGCAAGGTTAGGAGTTGGCAGCTGAGGCATAAAATGATCAGAGTGAGACAGCTCAAACAAGAGCGCCAAAGGGAAGTCAGCTGTGTGACACATGACAAAGGTTTATTGTCTCTGTCATTTCATGTGAAGGCTAGTTATCCAAATTTAACCTAGCACAGTGAAACTCTGTGTAAGTCATAGTGGCTCTGTTTTTAGATTAAAGTGGGAGTGTGTTCAGCTGTGCATTAAGATCTTAGGGCCTCTGCCTGAATAAATACTATCCAAGATGTTACGCAGCCCAAAGAAAGACATATGGAAAGGCTATGTCCAGGGAACAAGATGTCTTTGTCAGATAGAGTGGGTTTAGTTCCCATCTCCCTCCAGGACAGCAGACCACTTTTTAGGGGAAAGTTGAAATTCTCCTTAGAGGCTGATGGCAGCTCTGTGGGACCCTCACTGTAGGAAGGAATGACTCACTGCCATGGCATATGCAGTCTTCCCAAATTTCGGTTAGTGGCCATGGTGGTTCATGCTGCATGTGAACAGCTTGTGCCATCCCCATCTTGTATATGTCTTGCTTGCGGTCAGGGCGGTGGCAAGTGGGAAACTTTCTGCTTTTGTTTGCATTTGTAACATTCCAAAGAGTTGATGGGTCTGGAAAGATTAATTTCCAAATGAGAGTGTCATCAGTATCTTAAAATTAATCTGTTGTCAAAATGTCACCTTAAAAGCTGTAGTCTCTGAATCGGTTTCTATGCAGGTTGATAATGTGATCACAAAAATAATTATTGAACATGGGCTAGTTTCCTAAACTTAAGTTTTTGGTCTCTTTGTTTTCACTTTCAGCCTGGTGAACAATCTGAGAGTAGATTTCATCATTTTTTTCATTTGAAATAATTCGTCTGTTATGTTTCTATAAATACTTGGTTGTTTAGTCATCACTTGACTATACTCCATTGTAAGACATTGACGTGACACTTTTTTTTTTTAAATTAGACCTTTTCTCTTGATTCTTACTAAAACATGCATCACAATCACCTGAGGAGTTTCTTGAAGGGAGAGTACCACCCACACTCTACAACCCACGTGTAACAGACTTGAAACAGTAAATTAAAAGTTGGGGTTCCAGTGATCTTGAGTTATGCTTCCCTTGAAGCCATTCTTTAATGCTGTTTTTGAGGATGTTTATGAACATGCAGCACTTGAGCTTACTGCCATTTCTGTTGAATCTACCTATAGGTCACAGTAAAGCTGTTCGGGACATCTGTTTCAATACTGCAGGAACCCAGTTTCTCAGCGCTGCCTATGACAGGTATCTTAAACTCTGGGACACTGAGACAGGTAAGAGTGCACTAATAAATAGTACAGCTCTGTCTTCTAAGGTACCCTTACGTGTGAACAGTCTGAGTGGCTTTCTGTGGCACAGTGGTACCTCCTCTAACTGCTGATTCTTACCCCATTGCTTAGCATCTAATATCACAAAATGTCTTTATGGAATTGAAACTCAGCTCATTACCAGTCTTAACTGTGAAACTGCCCCTACAACATAAAGGTTAATAAAACAAATGTACTGTACCTGATAGAAGCACAGTGTCTGGGGAGCAGAGTTAAATTGTTCAAATTGATTAAAATGTAAGTCCAAACTCTCATGAGCCTGTTGATTTCATGTATTTGCAACTCCATTCCATCAGTATTTTGTGGCTAGTATAATTTTATATTATCATAAAAGCCATTTTTTATCACACTGAATTTTAAGGGTAATGAAAATACAAGTAATTCATGTGTACTTGGGTAACATGCTAAGCATTTACATGCATGTTATTCAGTCTTAATATACTCCAATAAGTTATGTACCATTGTTACATTATAGGTGAAGAAAGTGAGGCATAAAGGTAGCCTTTCCAGAGTCCTGCAGGCAGAAGTGAGTTTAGACTAAGATCTCCAGCATCCAAGCCTGTGTTTTCACCTCTTTAGCCCCTGCTCAATTCTGACTCCATATGGTTATCATTTGAAGAGCTTGAGAATCACTAAGATGTGTGTCCCACCACCAGAGGTCCTTAGATGGTTTGTCCAAGCTGTGGACAGTGTTACTGTCTCTACAGCTAAGGCTGAGAGTCTCCCAACACAACATACACACACATTAAAAAGCTCTTCTAAAAATCAAAATATAGTATGCATGAAGTATATAAAATCCATATTCATCAGTCTTTTTTTATAAACATATGTCTGAACTGTTTTAAATACCACAAGATCAAGATCTACATTTCAGTCATGCAGTATGGGTTTCTTACACCCTTTCCAGTCTGTTCCCAGTCATCACAGTAGCTGCTCTGTCATGATTGGTTCATTTTGCCTGTTCTGGACTTCTTATGGATAGGATTATACCATATTTTCTCTTATTTTTTGTTTCTTTCACTCAGTATAGTATCTGAGAGTCACAAGGTTTATAGCAGTAATTTATTATTTTTTATTATTTCAAATGTTCCTCTGTGTGAATGAAATTATAATTACGTATTCAACATTTGGTAGTACAGTTTGACTTTTGAAAAATTATTTTTAATCATTAAAAATATGTGACAAGAAACTGTAATTTCGAGTAAGATGCTTTCCCTCAAATTTTATTAAACATGATCTGAAGGCCATTGTCATCTCTAAGTGGTCAAATTTATTTTTAATTTGAATCTTTATTTTTAGGACAGTGCATATCAAGATTCACAAATCGAAAAGTACCCTATTGTGTCAAATTCAATCCTGATGAAGATAAACAAAATCTCTTTGTGGCTGGGATGTCTGATAAAAAGATTGTGCAAGTAAGTCTTTTTGCCTTGTTTTTATTAAGATTCCTGAGCTTTGTATTATAATGGGGAATGGAGTACAGAGTGTTGACTCATTTTAATGTTTGTTACTTTTAGGGATTCCTGCTGTTCTATACTTAGTAGAAAACAATCATTTCATAAAAATATGCAAGATCTTTTCCTTCTTCTTTCCAGAAGTACCATTGGCTTTCATAAACTCATTCCACTTTTGGCTTCATGTCTTGTTTGCTATACAGTGGGACATTCGAAGTGGAGAAATCGTTCAGGAATATGATCGACATTTGGGAGCTGTCAACACCATTGTTTTTGTTGATGAGAATAGAAGATTTGTGAGTACATCTGATGATAAGAGCCTAAGAGTTTGGGAATGGTAAGTTTCTCTCAGTAGAAAATGTGCTTTATATAAAGCAAGCAATTAAAAATTTTAGCCAAAGACAAAAGCTAATAATATGAAACCATTTGAATAAGTTTTGTGACTGTGATCCTCACTAGCTAATTAAATTGTTTTAATTATTTAGGTAACCACAATTTGGAAATAAAAATTGAAGCAAACTGCCCTTCATGGTCTTTAGATAATCTTTTCAGAGAGTGTTTACTTTGAGGTACTTTTTTACTATGATGATAGTGTGTTGTGGTATCTCACATTCTCTGTGTCTTTCTCATCTTTGCAAAATGACTGGCAAGCAGACTCTGCAAGTTCTGTTTTGTGTTATATAAGGATTGAGCATAAGGCCCTAGCCTCAGAAAAAACCCCAAGAAAATCCTGCTGTATTGCTTTTTAATGTGTTTTATGATTGTTCATTACTTAAGATTATACCACATCAACACACTTGTATACATGTTTTGCTTATAGAATGGGAATATATTGGTTAACTGCTTTTTTTAGAGGAAAAATGATTTTTATAAAATCAAAAATACTAAAACTAGTTTCATTAAGTATCATAGATCATGTGCTATAATTTAGTTGCAAAGACACGATCTTTTTGTTAAAATAAATGTGTGGTTGGAGCCCAGCTTGTGTTTATATTCAGTTATGAAGCACAGCTCAGCTATGATTATAGCCTTGCAAGAACTAGAATGTACTTCATGCCACCCCCAGAAGTTACACTTTAAGAAGAAGTGGGCATCCTGGAGCCACAGCTAATGGTTTCTTCTGCAAACCAAATCCCTTTGGGGAGCTGAGTAGGCCCTAACCATTGTCAGGACAATTTCAGTAATCAACAATTTAATGTAATTTAACTGTATTTACTCCTACACTTACACTACCACCAAACCGTCAGATTACTCTCAACTATTAGAGTTGACAAGACTTTTAATACATAAGATGTGATTCAAAAATGCAATGAATGTTTAAACTTCAGAATATATATATTGTAGGAAAAGACATACAGCTATTCATCCCTCCCAAAATATTCCCCTCACATTAAGCACGCTTATCTCGTTATTCTTGCCTCCTTCTGAAGAGGTCTGAAGATCTCTTTTATGAGTGTTTTTAAGTTGTGCCATTACAGCTGTCTTAGTGTACTGAATTGATTCAAAATGTGTACCTTTCATGGTCCTCCTGACTTTGAGGAAGAGCCAAAAGTCTCACAGTGCCAGATCCAGTCACGGAAGTGGATCAGGACCCAGCTTAATGTTTATTTAACAGAAATTGGCATAAACATTTTCAGTTAGTTCACGATGTCAAGGTAGCCATGACAATGCAGTTAGACACTCATGAAAGAGAACTTCCAGAACTGCTTCAGAAAGTGGCAAGAATGATGGAATGGTATGTTTAAAGTGAGGAGGGACGTCATTGGGGAGATCAATGACAATGTCTTACTGTAATAATTTTTTTGTGAATTAATCTTTTATTAATTCCTGGAATTAAAAAGCTCTGTCTATGCAGTAAAAATCTGTACAAATAGAAGCAGCCTTAAGCTCCAGGCAGCTATTGCTTTGTAAAAAGTCTACATATAAACTCTCTAGATTAACTGTGATTGTCATCCATTGCCAAAGATACTAGAAAAACTCACTCATAAGATCTAAGTTACTAAATTAAAGATCTGAAGCAATGTGAATTACAAGTCATGGTGATACAAAACAGCTGAGGAACAATCATTCATATGCAGCTTTAAAAAAAGTTCATAAGCAATAAAAACCTTATTTACAAAGTGACAACTACAAAACAACATTTACATTAAGTAGACAGCTGATCACTGAAATGTTTTCAGAAACACTTGACCTCAACCACCACTACCCTGTTCAAGGCATCATTTTGCCCTAGATTAGAGCAACAACAATATAAGGGGTCCCAGCTCTTCTAACCTTCATACACAGTGTACTCTCCAAGCAGCAGTCAACGTGCTCCTGTTAAAACCAAGTCAAACTCATCACTCAATAGCCCATCCAAGGATACTCACCGTGCCTGGCACCTTCATCTGGTCAGCATTAAGCTTTTCCCCACTGTAATAATTTTTTAATGTATTTGGTACCTGGTCTCACTGTACAGCTCAGATGATCATAGTAATCCTTCTGTTTCCAGCCTCCTCAGTGCTGGGATTATAGGTCTACACCACCACGCCGGGCCTCATTGGCCAGTTGAGTGCACCTGGGGCAGGGCCAGTATGGCATGTGGTGCAGGAATCAAACCCTGGTCTCTGCACTCACCTAAGCTGGTGCTTAGTCTGCTGAGCTAACTCACAGGCCCTATAATTTCTTTTTAACCTAAACTTTTGCCATATATTTTGATCACATGTTGTATAATATCCTGAAGTTTTATAGCTTGAGAACTGCCTTATAACTAAAACCTTTCTTGCTTCAAAATACTTTCTTACAGAGACCCTGATATAGAAAATATGTTTTATATAAGCCACCTTAAATCATTTGCACAGTACTTTCTTAACCATGTATATACATGTTTTGTTTTATATGTATTAACAATTTGATTATACTCAAACATACAGCTCTTTTTACCTTCAGATGATATTTTAGTTACATTTTAAAATGTAGAATCATGTAAAATAAGTTGGAAAGTATTTAAATTATATAACAGAGTTTAAGAATGTTTTTATTTTCTAAAGTAAAACATTGGCCAGCAAAATGCTTTTCTCTCTCAGATTGTCATATTCCATAATACTGTTTTGTTTCAAATCATGATACCCTTTAGATTTCTGTTTACCTTTACTGCCAGTAGTCATCACTGTTGTATGAGTGTTTACTAGAAAAGCAGACTTAACACAAGATACATAAATATACAAGAACCTGCAAGATTGGCTTACAGTGTTCACCCACAGTTGGGTATGGAAGAGCACAGAGGGCACCTGTATGCCAGAGACCGAAGGATCCAGGCAGAGTTCTGGCGCTCCCTGCAGTGTCCTGAGTGAGTTCTTATGAGGGTGCTGATGGGTCTGTGATGAAAGCCTAAGAGTCCATGCTAGGAGGCTGAAGGATCTGCCCAGCAGCTGGAGAGTCTGCGTGGAAGCCAGGAGATGATGCCCAAGGTGAAGGTGAAGGTGAAGCCTGGAGCTCCTCAGAAGAAACAAGCCAGTCTTTCTTTCTTCATTGCCTTTTCGTACCATCGCAGTGACAAGCTGCCCTAGAGGGGTCTTCCACATGCTGGGATAGCTGAGCCAATTTAGTTGAGCTTCTATTACTCAAGTTGACACAACCAGTCAAAGCTGTTGCAACATCATAGCTGTTACAATCACTAACAGTATTACATTCATAAAGTCCTTTATGCCAATCTGCGCTGAGCATTTTTATATCAACTCTTTGACACTGTGCAAAACAATGTTATGACTTATTTGTATTTCTTATATAAAGATACTAAATAGATTTAAGTAATTTGTCTTAAGGACACAGAAGGATGAGAATTCACACTTGGGTCAAAGGATTCCAAAACTTGGGTTCTTGACTGTTGCTGGATAGCTAGGTGAGTGAGGGGACTGGAAAGGTAACTTGTATCTGGTTTGATTAGTGAAAAAAGCAATAAATGTAAGAATCAGTTTTTCTACAAAGGAAAGTGGGAAGCAAAACTAGCTCAGTATCTCCAGAAATTACAGGTCATCCTGGCAACTTGCATAGTAGGGCAGGCTTAAGTACCTCAAAGTGAGAACTGACCCCACTGCAGGAAATCGTTCAGCATAGGGGCCTCTAGAGGAATGATGTTTACCAAACTTATATGCCCTATAACTTGCTTTGCCTGGCAGTGATGTAAGAAAACAAACCTAAGGAAACTTGGTTTTCTTAAACAGATTATACAGTGTAAACTAAGACAGTTGTGTAGTTTTGAAGGAAAGTTGGAGGTCATATTAGATACTGAGTAACAGTGGTATTTTAATTGCTAAATGCGTGAAATGTAGACATGTTTTCTCCTAAAGATACTTGTTTCAGTAAAATAATATTAAAGTGAAATTTTACATAGGCTGATAAATATTAGTTTTTTCATTTTAAAATTGCATAGAACTTTCTTAATTTCTTTTATTCATTTCCAGAATATTTCTCGCTTATCATATTCAATTACAATATCAATTAGAAAAGTGTTTTTATTGATTTTAACTGCTATATGCCTACCAGACATTTTTACTAGAAATAATAATATCCATGAGATATTTCAGACTCAATTCTTATTCTAGAGATTGTTGTACCATGTTGAATTAAGGGTTCATGTAAATTTTTTGTCTGTGTTTATTTTTAGTGTATTGATTAACATGTACCTGCATTGTGGTTAATTTAAAAAATGCTTTTATGTTTCAATCCATATTATAAAATTATTAGCCAATTTGATAATAAATATGAGGTAAAAAACTTGAAGCTTTTTCACATTGAGGCCTTTTTTTTTTTTAATAGATTTGGGTCATTGTGAATGTGGGTTTTTATTGCTGTTTCAAAGCATAAAGGGTTGGATGGAGATGTGACAAATGACAAATATATGAAACTATTTTCCTTTCAGCAAGACTTTGACAGAAGTTTTCTATAGGCATTTGCTCCTTCTGGATGGTTGGGTACATCAACAGAGAAAGTTCTTACATGAAACAAATAATTAGTATTTTCTAATTAATGACATCATTGGAACCTTAACCATAGCTTGAAGAAACTGCTGCTTCATATCCTACTGTTCCTCAGATTACATTTCCCACATAGAACTCTGTAAAAAACATTGCTGGTTTCAGAAGCAATAAGATCAAAATTCTTTTCAGAGTTATCGTATTTTTATAATGCAAAACTTAAAAATGTACTTCAAATTTTTGAGCATTTTAAATTTAAGTGACTAGTTCTACATTTTTATTTAGTCCTTTATGTTACACAAGTTTTTTGTTTTTAATACCTTTTCTCCTGCACCACACATGTGTAAATGATTTACATATAAACCAAAAATACTCTTAAGTACCAAGCACTTAATCTTTCTGTCCGTGGTCATTATTTTAAGGTGGATTAAACCAGTAAACTCATAGACTCATATGGAACTGCCTGCTATCAGGGACTTTTTGGCTTTCTTAACTGCTCACAGAATAGTGTGTTAAGATTGATTAGCATGTAAAATAACATTCCCATAGGATTGTTCAGATGTCTTGCTTCTATCCATCATGGTACAGTTTTTTTCTTTTTTAAGTTTTTATTAGTACCTGTGGACAAATAAATAAGATACTGCTTAGAAATAAAAATGGCTAGTAAGTACATGAAAGTATGTTCAATATCTCAGGCCATTCGAGAAATGCAAATTAAAACAACACTGAGATTCCCATTTTACCTCAGAAAAGATGGCTGTCATCAAGGAATCAAATAATAACAAAGGCTGGGAAGGTTGTGGGGGAAAATACAGTGTTTGTTGGTGGGAATGTAAACTAATTACCACTATGGAAATCAGTATGGAGATTCCTCAGAAAACTAAAAATAGAAATTCCATTTGACCCAGCTACTGGCCTTTCAGGTGTCTTCCCAAAAGAGCTGAAGACATACATGTATGCCTATGTTTATAGCAGCACAATTCATAATAGTTAAATCTTGAAAGTGGCCTCTATGTCTACCAACAGATGACCAGGTAAAGAAAATGCGGTATTTATACCCATTGGAGTACTGTACCATAAAGAAAGATGAACTGGAGTCATTGAGTAAATATAGAATTTTGAAAGTTTGCTTTTATTTGAATACTGTTCTTTGTTTCATAGAGAATTTTTCTAAAAGTCCTTTCTAAAATTTCTTGTTCTGATCTACTATTTTAAATTTTTAGGGATATCCCTGTGGATTTCAAGTATATAGCCGAACCTAGCATGCACTCGATGCCTGCAGTGACTTTGTCTCCTAATGGTGAGTTGGTACATAGAATGTTTTCTTAATGAACTTCTAAGACTTGCTGTAATTGTTACATGCATAAAACCTTTAGTCATTCCCTTTTTAAAGGGTTGCACGCTCCATACTGTAGAACGAAATCTTTTCCATATCAGAGATGCTGACTGCTTTCATATGTAAGGCACCTCATCCACTCTTGTTCTTTTTTAAAAAAAATAGTGATTTATAGCTAGCATTGCCTGAGCATCTAAGAATTTCATTCTGACATTCTAATATTTGTTTTTATTTTAATGATTCTGCTTCCAGCAAATCAAGTTCAGTAAATAATTTAAGAAGCTCTTCCAAGGGGCTAGGAAATTTTGGTATGATTGCACATAATGAAAATACCATAGCAATTCACTGTAAAAGATCTCAGCAAAAATAAAAAAGATAAATCCTTGTAATGATGTTTCCTATTTAGTAATCCACTGCCTTTTTAGTACAAGTTATCTTGTGCTGCACACATACTGACAATATACTGATATAATTAGAGCTCTTCGTGGGGCATTAAAGAAGAGGATCTATGGTTCAGGGCACGTCATCTTTGTAGCTACCCTTCACTCCCATAGCTACCATACAAGTCAGACCATGAGGTAGCAAGGAAGACCTTGATCCTCTACCTGGGCGTCTGCATGGGCAGATAAATTGGTGACAGTTATCAGATGCTCATCATCTGTAAGAGCAGCCAACCTGGATCCTAGTTTGGTAGATGCTGTGTTATGTACTCTGTCACTGGAATGTACATTTCATGTAGTCTTTTTAAACTTCTATTATAAATATTGTGCCTGTCTTGGACAGAGCCTTTTACTCACCCAGCAGTGTTAGCGAGTGTGTGGAATACAAGTAAATACTGTAGTCTGGGGGCTTTGGTGTATCCTGGATCGATAAAAGCAATATACTATTTCAAAAGTTAGTATAATTGTGTTAATCATATCTTTTTTTAGTTCAGTTTTTTTTAACAATCCTATGTTTTCTCACCAGTTAGTCCCCCCTATATTTCAGTTACCACAGATAAGTACCTTTCTTCCCATAGTTCTGTTGACTAAACTTATTACAAATTAATTTCACCTCCTAACCTTTAATTTAGTTCTATTAACACCACCTTTGGAATTTCTTCTTTCTTTCTTTCTTTCTTTCTTTCTTTCTTTCTTTCTTTTTTTTTTTAAGAAAAAAGCTTTTATGTGAAGAATCCTCAATGATAATAGAATTGTACAAATAAGAATCCATTACTTTATATAAAATAACTTTTTTTTTTTTGTTTTTGGAGGAACTGGGATTGAACTCAGGCCCTTGTGTTTGCCAGGCAAGTGCTTATTCTTCTGAGCCATCTCCCCAGTCCTATAAAATAACTCTTGCCAGTCACCTCATTTATAATACTTTACAGATGGCATATTAAATTTATTTTCTAGTATTAAAAGGTAGTTGGAAGCAAAAAGAATAGTAGTGGCAGCAAAAAAAAATAGTTTCTTTGGACTGGTGAGATAGCTCAGTGGTCTAAGCTCCTGCCTTGCAAATGCAAGGACCCAGGTTCAATCTCTGGTTCTACAGATGGTGCTGGCCCCAGAACCCTGGGCACACAGTGCTTGTCCACCAAAACCAGCTACGAGTCTGAGTTGCAGAGTGAGAGCCTGTACCAAATAAATAAATGAAAGATTTTTTAAAAAATAGTTTCTTTAATTTTTCAGTCTCTCCAATGTCTCATTTATTGATTTTACAGGTAAATGGCTAGCATGCCAATCAATGGATAACCAAATCTTAATTTTTGGAGCGCAGAACAGATTTAGACTAAATAAGAAAAAAATTTTTAAGGGACATATGGTAGCTGGGTATGCTTGTCAAGTGGACTTTTCACCAGACATGAGGTAAGTTTAGATCTTCTGATCTATTCTCATCCGTATATGATGACAGGATATAAATTATTGTTGTGCAAATAACATTTTATGAAACCCAGTTTCACATATACAATTGTATGAAAACTGCATATGTCAAAATGCCAGTAAAAGCAAGAACGAGTTATAAAAATTACATTTTGCTATTTTTTAGATTTTCACTTCAATATATTTCCTGCTATTACTTAGGCCTATGCTCTTTAAGCGCCTAATAAATCCCTGTCTGTATCACCACTGCCTTAGTTTCTCTTCTCTCAGCAAGGCTAGCACTATGTTCACTATGATTGAATGAATACTAGAAGAATTAATTTCATATCGCAATATTGATGACTACTATAGCTTCTTTGTGTTGAAAACTGAAGTCTGCCCTTCGAATATTTCTAGATCACACTGTATTCATGAAGTGGATAGTCTTAATAAAAAATTCGATTCTGCATTCATTCTACCATTCCTAGTTAAAAATCTATCGGTGAAAGTATTTAGAAATCCTGTAACTCTGTATGTTTGTCTTGGCAACTGGACCTTACATGCCTACTCTGATTCAGACATAGATACCTTCAAAGGATATTAAAGCCAAAGCATAATTATGAAGGTAGTACAGGTCACTGCAGTAGAATGTGTCCACTAGCTATATCAGAATTGATTCATGTACACTCTAGGACTGTTCAGAGACTGAGAGCCATTCATTGTGGCCCTTGGGATGCCTGTCTTCCCAATTAAAAATAATTTTCTAAGATAAGTAGTTCATTGAAAAGTTATTTTGGGGGCTGGTGAGATGGCTCAGTGGTCTAAAGCTCCTACTTAGAACAAGCTAAGCTAAGCAAAACAAAGGGACTGCAGTTCAATCCCCCAGCACCACATGCCAGCCAGCCCCGCCCCTGGTGGGCTGAGCTGGCCACACACACACACACACACACACACACATAAATAAATAAATAAAATTAAAAAATAAATAAAATAAAGCAAAGATGAATTTAAAAAAAAAAAGTTATTTTGTAAAAATTTGTATTAAAACTACTTTGTGTTTTACCTTATTTTGAGTGTTGCATTTCTTACTGATTTCTTTTATGTTAAAGAGAAAACCTGTCACTGTTCTTTAGCCACTTTATCATTAAACAGTGTTTTGAATAATTTGGCTTTCTTTCTGTTGGCAGCTATGTGATTTCAGGAGATGGAAATGGAAAATTAAACATTTGGGATTGGAAGACCACAAAACTCTACAGTCGATTTAAAGCTCATGATAAAGTGTGTATAGGTGCAGTGTGGCATCCTCATGAAACATCTAAGGTCATCACATGTGGCTGGGATGGTCTCATTAAATTGTGGGATTAATGAGATTAGTCCCAAACTACCTAGGGTCATTTTTGATCCAGTGTCATATTTAACTGTATTTAATTATTAAATGTGTTGGATGACAACCTGATTTATAGATGTTTTCCTTACATGGCCTTATGAAGTTGACTGATTGTTTTTAAAAAGCTCTGTAAATTTGCCTCATGTAATGTCACTCGCAATTTCATTTTGCTCTTTATGGATGTTATTTATACAATGAATAACCATTGACTTTCTATTTGATAAGTAGTTATTGTTGGTGGGCAGTTTAGATTTTATTTCTGTGCATTACCGAAAGGTTCTTTTTTGGTATCAAGAAAGAATCCCTACTAGATTTGGGATCCTCTGGGAAATAATGTATCTAATGACTCAGGAAGGTACCCTATACTTACCTACCTGTTCAGTCAGGAGTACAGTAGAGAACAAAGATGACGTAGTCTAATACACACTTGAAAGAAGAATAAAACCACCCACAGTTACTGTTCACATTACATTCAGGGGGTCCAGATCGAAACTTCGGCCTTCATAAGTTCCACTATTTTTATGATATGTTTTATATTTTTATTTGCAAATAACTTTTTACTGCAACATTTCTCTAATTATTAAACAATGTAAAATAAAAACTAGAGTTCTTTCCTTGACTTCCTGATCATTATAGACGCAACTTACATATTTAAGCAGAAAATTCCATTATTTTTGAAGATGGAATTCAAGAGAAGGAGTTAAGCCTCTGTGTTTTGTTTATGTTCACTGTCAGTAAGGACCTGGCCATAGTTGAAGAAATCAGGGTCTCCTGAGTCATTGCTTCAGCACTGTTGTTCCTGAACTACTCCTCACTGAAGACAGGGTATGAGGCATAGTCCAAAATGCCAATTTATAATTTCTTTAAACTCATATTTTATCTTTAAAAGTATACTGGCTTTGATTATAAAAATATTCAACAGAATTTTTAAGATTAGGAAAAAAAGGGGGGTTTTCCCCAACTCTGAAAAAAAATTGATACTATGAGAAAATGGCTAGGGTTTCCCATTTTTGAAAAGCAGTAAACTTGATTTAAAAAAATAGATTAAAAGCATCATATTATAAAATCAAGATGGCTTCTTGCTTATAGTAGCGAACAGCACTTTAGTTTGACAAGTCACTTTTCCTGTTTTAAGTCCTATTAGGTGTTTGTGGTATGAAATATTTCACTACCATGCTAAGAAAAGACTGGTTGAGAGTTGTTGAGTGCTAACTAGGGAAGCAAAATTATGTTGAACGGGGCTGGAGAGATGGCTCAGTGGTCTAAGGCACCTACTTAGAACAAGCTTGGCAAAGCATCAGGGACCGCGGTTCAATCCCCCAGCACCACATGCCAGCCAGCCCCGCCCCCTGGTGGGCTGAGCTGGCCACACACACACACCACACTCTCTCTCTCTCTCTCTCTCTCAAATAAATAAAAAGAAAAAAAAAGAAAAAAAAATTATGTTGAACGTTGACAATGTCTTAGCGTTACGCTCCGCATCTTGTGTTATCACAGGAATGCATGCTCCTTGTCTTAAGAGCACTTCCATTTCTCAATTTTAACTTAAATCTTGGTCAGACAGGCACTGTGGTACACACCTTGTTACCCCACATTGTGGGAAGCAGAGACAGGAGGACCACAAGGCTGAGGCAGCCAGGACAACTTAGCAAAATTTTAAAAGAGGCTGGGGACAGAGCTCACTGGGAAGGCCCCTGGGTTTGGTCCCAGAAACACAAAAAGGTCAGGGGGCTGGCTGATAAATATGACCAGGCCCTGTAGCCACATAAAAATAAATTTCAAAGAAAACAAGGAGGAAAGAAAAATAAAGGTGTACTTTTTGATACACATGCACTCAAAGAAATAGAACATACTGCTTAGCTGCTGCCATTTCTTTGTATCTGTAGCCAGCAAGAGTGGCAGCTAAGAGGGAAAGCTTAAGGCCTTTCTTTAGGTCTAACCACTAGTTTAACAAATGTGAATTATTAAAATAAGATGTTCAAAATGAGTTTGTGGTTTTGTAAGGACAGAAAGAATCATTCATCTAAACTGTTGTTCAGCACCAGCATTGTTTGTTACAAATCATAATTTCTAAATCTAGATTTACTTTATTGTTTTTGACTGTTTCTAAACTAAATGGTTGTATATAAAAGTTTTCTCTTTTTTGAAAATACCCTATTTTTGAATAAAGCATTTGTTGTAGAAAGTGTTGAAATGTTTATCATTAATTTTCTTTTAAGTCCTAAATATTTTGAGATACCGCACTAAACCATTTGTAGACTTAAATGGGTCGTATGGGAACAAATGATGTTTTAGAGATAGGTGTGGTCTATTTCATATATTAATGGAGTTATTCTATTTAAGTGATAAAGTACAAGACAGTACATGCAGAGCATTTAGTGGTTATACTAAATCATGGTACGCTTCATTTTGGAATACACAAATGAGTACAGCTTTTTCTCAGCATCAGTCTTCTCAAGATGTTGTTGCTGGTTTTAAGTAGTTAGCATTTGCTGCTTCTTCCTGACTGCAACCTTTTTGTCACACCCAGGACATATTTCCTTCTTCAAAGTTAGAATAAAAGTGATGCTTTAGTGAAAGATATACTTGAATGAATATTTAAATATTGAAGCACAGCTGAAAATATTTTGTGCTAAGAGTAACATCAGTCTCATTTCTAAGTAGAAATATATAGAGTGGTTCTTGACACATTGAGGACAGTGTTTATAAACAAGAGAAATATTGAACACTTAGATGACAGTCTTTTTTTCTTTCTTTTTTTTTTTTTTTTTTTTTTTTTTTTTTTTTTGCGGAACCAGGGATTGAACTCAGGCCCCTGAGCTTGCCAGGCAAGTGCTTATTCCACTGAGCCATCTCCCTGGCCCCGATGACAGTCTTAAGGATCATAATACCAGCAACTTACAGAGGGTTCTAGAAGGTCTACGTAGACTGAACCTGGCCTCAGAATCACCCAGAATTGTGCTGCTTACCAAGATGTAGAATTGAAAAGATACAGTAAATAATTGGGGGAGAATGATGAACTCAGCTAAGGGAAAGGAGAATAAAGTGGCATCTGTGTCACAATATCCATTAGCAATCTTAAGTGTGGATCTCAATGTAACAGTTGGGGAATACTGACACCTTAATACAGATGCATATTTTCTCTATTGAACATCTCTGAATAGGACTATGGTTAAAATCAATGTGTCACAGTTTAATTCACTTTAAATGGATTATAAAAGAATTGAAATGCAGAATAAGCAAGGTGAGAAACAAGGAACCTGAAAAAAAAAAATCAATGGATAAAGAGCTACTATAGCACTTGGCTCAAAATTCATGTTATAAAATATCCTATTTGATCATTGGATAAATAATGAACTGGCAAAAGATTATAATTAAAATATAGGTATGTCAAAGTAGATATGCACATATATGGCTGATGTTTATACTGCTGTTTCTGTTAGGTAGTGTAAAAGAAACCCAGCTATTTAGATAATGCTGATTTCATCCTTTGACAAAACAAAACCTATACCAGAAAGACACTCATGATGCCTTCCATTGTACTGGCCCCTATCACTTTCTCTGTGGTTACTTTCCATGCAGAAACTTCCTTGACTCATACTTCAGTCTTAAGAATATACAGTATCTTGATTTCACTTTCTCAATCAGTCATTAGTGTCCACTTTGTAGAATAAGCACAATATGATTTGAATTACTTGCATGAAAAATAGCCCCTTTCCCTTCAGTGTGTAAATACCTCCTACCACCACACAAATTTTGCCTAAATTTAACAATAGGAAAATTTATCCATCAAATTTCGAAAGGTATTTCTAATGCCAGAGAAAAGTTCAGTGGCAAATGATGATGAAATAATTTTGTAGAAAAATTATAATACTGGGCCAGTGAGATAGCTCAGTGGACTAAAGCACTGCTTAGGTAGGCAAGCTTAGACAAGCGCAGGGACTGACTGCAGTTCAGTCCCTGGCACTACATGCTGTGCCAGCCCCACCCCCAGAGCAGGCTTAGCAGGCCAGAGTCTAGCATAGCAGGGCATGCCTAAAGCAAGGGCAGTTGTCCCTGAGCAAATGATGGTTGATCTGATATCAACCCCTGAGAAATCCATCATTGTAATCAGCTTATTTTTATTGATACATAATTATGATTTCTCATTAACGTTAGAAGACCCACTTGGTCTGTGTTTCCTATAAATGCCCACTCTAGAACTCAAGGCTACATCTGGGGCCTGGAGACCACCTAGAATACTGAGTATTAACCTTTAATCACCTGTTAATCAGCTGTGCATTAAGCTTTAATTTCTCTGTCAGGGAGGCTTAGGCATCTTTCAGGGTGGTTACAGGGGAAGAGGACCTTAGTGGGTCACTCAGGACCCCAGCCACTTACAAACACAATAGCACTACAGTAGGTCCACAACTTGGAAAGGAGTTCCATTCCCAGAGAAAATTTGTAAATCATATTTGTTCATAAGTACAACAAATTGAGTCTTACATACATTTGACACAATATACCATGTGTATTGCCTTGCAAGTCCTAACAGTCTACATCACCGCTGCATTTCCTCTTGCTTCTGGAAATCCTGGGCTCTGACTGAGCACTATTACTGTACACTATAACACCGTACAGTAAGCACACAGCAACACAACTGTTATAGTGTCACAGACACATGAGCTACTTTCTGTGATTTGTTGACAGCTCTGAATGTTTGAAATGTGAGGTTCCTTGGTAGCCATCAGGACTTACTGTACTGCAAGATGGTTTCTGTGTATTTGCTTTCTAAAAGTATGTCCAAAGTATTTCATGGGATATACTTTTTTAAAGTTAACAGATCAAAATTATGTATTTTTATTACATGCAAGAATATTTCAGTATATATATAAGTATGTGTGTGGAATTATTAAATCAAGCAAATATTCATCACTTCACATATTTAGCATTTTTAGGGATGACAGCATTTAAAATCTAGTTTCAGCAGATTTCAAGTACACATTGCATTGTTATTATAATCACATTATGCAACAGATCTCTTCTACTGGTACACATTATTTGGATAACAGCTCTATGTATATTAGGCTTTTCTATTGAAATAATCCAGATTAGAATTCAAACTTGACCTCCTCCTCCTCCCAAAAAATCCCTTATTTCAATTTTATAGTACAAAACTAAACCACTAAGAAAATGTTATATCATTGGATACGAGAATATAAAGCTACTGGTTTTAGAAAGCATCACTCTTAAAACCTTAAGGACTAACATTTTCCCATATAGTTCTAAACATAAAGTATTATAATATTAACCCTCTATGATTTAATTTTTAAGGACAAATGTGATAAAATTATTCAAAAAATATAATTTTTATGTTTAGGCAGTTTTAAAAAGTTATTGAGTCTTTTGATTCTGAGCTGATAGAACTAAAACTCAAATACCTCTTTAATGTAAGTAAAAGAAAACTATATTGGCATAAGATAAAATTTACAAACTGCCAGCAATTGGCCTATATCTTAAAACTGACCAAAATATAAGGTGCCTGGCTTACTGGCTTAACCCACACTTTGTAAAGTCCAACATTTACAGTTAAGAAATTCAAATCCTAGATAGAACATATCTATCTGTTCCACCAGCTCCTAGTTGAATATTCTGAATAAACTGTAACTCCTCAAACTTTCTGTACCCATACAATTGGAAACATTACACTTCCTTGGACTGTTGAATTAGGAATAATCTATGCAAAGTGCCCGGCACATTGTACATAGTAAATCTTGTTTTTGCTTTTTTGTTGTATTATATTCTGTTTGTGCTCATTTTGTGGTGATTCTGGGGGTGATCGTTATTGCTTTGTCTGATCCTGTTCTTTACCAGCAAATACCAGCACTACAGTAGCATGGCCCTCTTCTTACAGTACTTCTCCACTGTGGATAGTTTTGCCCCCCAAGGGCCATTTGGCACTGTCTGCAGGCATTTGGCTGTCATAATGTGAGGGGTGAGGTTGTTACTCCTGCCAGCTAACAGGTAGAGGTCAGTGACCCTGCTAAGCATTTATAATACCCTCCATCCTGTCAAAGAATTGTCTAGTCCCACTTGGCAATAGTGCTAAGGCAATGGAATTCTGGTCTCCATGGTAAGCACAATCAGTTCTAGAGACAGGGAAACCCTAGTAACCACCAGTTTATCATCACAAATTTCAAACTGTCCATGAAGGGAATAAGCATAACTAAAAATTTCTAACTACTGAACAGGCTGCCTAGTAGGTGGGGATGAGTGGGCGTGTTTGAATTTATTCTTTTTAACAGTACATCCCTTCTTGTTTTAGATATATATATAGTGAGAAGAAGGTAGTGTTCTGTATGAGCAATCTGGATTAACTTGTTTTATACATAGGAGTTTCCAGGAATGCCATAAATCTTCCATTCTGTGAATTAAAATCTTGATACAGGTATAGATACATCTAAAAGTTGATCAAGCCAGACATTTAAAACTAGTACATGTATATGGTTAGATTTCTACATTTCTGTATAAAAGTATGTAACTGTGTATTCCTATTTTTAAATATTTTTTATTTTTTTTAATTTTTTTCTTCATATTCTGTGGGGACTTAAAAGTTTAACATATCAATACTTGATGGAAAATACCTGTTCCATGTTATGTGTAAGATACTTGATATTCAGACAGATAGTGAGGTTAAACTCCACTGCCTATGTTATAGAGTAATAATAATAAGCCTCTCTTCTAGAGGATTAACAACCTAAGTTTGCAAACCAAAAATTAGAGTAAAAGAAGGGCTGCAAGGACAGTCAACATTTTGGCCCTAGCCTTTCAAGGTCAGTGAAGACTCAGGACATAAGAGAACCTATACTGTAACATCATGTAACTCAGTGGTGGCCCAAATTTTCTGATCAAGGAGATTATGGGACCACAGAGGAAAGTGATCAATGATGTAGAGTGTGCCTAAGGAGAGGTACATGGAGAGAAAACATTCTCTCGGGCCTTCACAGACAGCAAATTGGTCAAGCAATGGCTGTGACTCATCCACATGGCTGACACTGACAAAGGATCTACAAACTGCAGTACAGGGTAACAGGATAAATCCTGAGGGGATTTGACTAACCTTATCAGATACAAAAGTTACATTTCTTGTTATATAGGCCTTGCTTTATCTTTGTCTTAACCATCCAGCAGAAAAGTATAAAAAGTAAAGCCATATTAATATGCTGAGCTGTAAAAGGCTCAAGTCAACAACTTCTGTCATTGCCAGTTTTACGGAAAACCCACTACTATTGACTACTGGACTATAGTGGAATATTTTGCTGAATTCACGCACCTACAATATTTAAATGACAATGGAATACCCTTCTCTGACAAAATTAAACAAAAAAGGGGATAAAAATGAACGACCATTTTGTATCTGTATATTCAAAATAGGATAGATACAGCTGAATTGTCTTAATTCAGTGAATAGAGAGATTTATTCTAATAGTGTTTGTGGACAGGATATCATGTCTGCATCTTGTACATTGAATAACCACTAAGACAGCAATATGCAATGTATTAATTATTGAAACTGTGCTAGTAATCAATTTTGAAACTGTCTCATTGCTATTTATTTCTCAATAAAATTATTTAAAAAATAAAATAAAACTAGTACAAAAAATAGATAAAATAAAACTAGTACACTCCACACTTTAGTGAATATTTAATATATAGATTTTAGTGTATAAATATTTATGAAAAAGATCTGTAATGTAATCTAAACAGAACTGAAGATAGCGTTGAAGATAACGTCATACAAACTAAGAGTGAGTGCAAACCACTTTTGAGCTTTCATGGATGCTCCTGCACATTCCAAATCCTTTAACAGTGATGGTGAACCTTTTAGAGACGCAATGCCCAGACTGCAACCCACACCCCACCCACTGCTCACCAAGTGCCTACACTGCAGCTCTGGTCGCTCCGCTGCTGGGCAACGCCGAGCGCCTCGGCTCGCAGGGGCTCTCGGTTCCTCACCGGCCTCCGCACGCTCCAGGGACTGAGCTGCCATCTCAAACCACACTTACTCAAGCCGGTTCTTTCAACTGAACAACTTTTCTTTTACTTGTGCTTTATGAATTTCAAAATAAAAATTTCATATTTTAAAAAATTCACAACTAATGCAGGAATTATGTTCTCTTTGGAACTTGAGTTAATGAGATCATCCTATTCTAATGTATGTTCGTTTCTTATTTGAAAAATAGTTTTTTTAAACCAGTGAAATTTTGGCCAACACGGGGAATGTCTAAGGATAGAAGCAAAGGAGGAGGAAAAGGAGAAGGACGAGGAGGACGAGGAGGACGAGGACAAGGAGGAGGACGAGGAGGACGAGGACGAGGAGGACGAGGACAAGGAGGAGGACGAGGACGAGGAGGACAAGGACGAGGAGGAGGACAATGACGACGAGGAGGACGAGGAGGAGGACAAGGAGGAGGAGGAGGAGGACGAGGAGGAGAAGACAATGAAGATGACTGGGAGATAGGATAAAGCACCTCGTATTCTGTTCCCTCCCAAAATTGTTTGAACAATGTACCTAGTTTTCAGTTTCAAAATTTTAAAAATGCCAGAAATATACTTAATTTGTCTTATTTCTGTATTAATTAATTTGTTTAAAACAGAATTTTTTGCAAAGCATTCACAGAAGCATTCCGAGTCCTATAAACAGAAATGATAGAAATCTTTTGAATCATTGAGAACCTACATGTTCTGCTGATTTTTTGTTAATACACAAAAAGAACTGGGACCACTGAAACACGGGAAAGAGACTTCGATATTTTCAGGAGATAGTCATAAATGATGTCAACTGGCAGTAAAGAAAAATGCACTGAAAGCTTGAGTTAATGTATATAAAAAAGAAGATTTCACAGCATAAGCAAGCCTGTAGCAGGGAATTCATCTTTGAAAGCAGAAGAGGCTTAGTTTCTTAAGTAATAAAGGAGATTTAAGGCTAAATATGGGAAGAATCTTGAATTGAAACTGTTGGCCTGGCAAAATAGCTCAGCAATCCAAAGAGCCTGCTTAGGCAAGCTTAGGGACCACGGTTCGATCCCTGGCACCATATGCTGTGCCAGCCCCACCTTTTATTAAAACTCAGGTCAGAATTCAGAAACCTGAATTCCCAGATACCAGAATCAGCCATTTTTATAAAGTCACAATGTGGCTTTCGCAAAGGCTGAGAAGGAATTGTGACATGCACAAGGTTGTAAAGAATGTTACTGACTAGAGAAGTCAGAAAACCTTGTAAGAGATGACTTAAAGTCAGATGAAAGATCCAGTCTGAAAACATGGACAATGAATGTAAGAATATCAATTTAGGAAACATGGAAAAAATTATAAAATTTTAACGTTTACAAATTCATGGACTCTAGGGCCAGCCAAATATCTCAGTGGATTAAAGCGTCTGCTTAGGCAGATGCAGGGGCCAGGGACTCAATCCCTGGCATGCTGTGCCACCCCTGCCCCCAGGGCGCACTGAGAGGCAATTGACACTGGGCGTGGTAGTGCGCACCTGTTATCTCAGTGCTTGGGAGGTTGAAAAACAGGAAGGATCACTACAAGTCTGATCTGTGTAGTGAGACCCTGTAGATGCTGTACTAAGTACATTAAAAAAATTAAAACTTTAAAAAAAAATAAATTCATGGACTCCAAACACAATGAATTTTATTTTTTTTCCTCACATAATGAATTTTAGAAAAAAACTGGGATGAACTGGAGATTTAGCTCCAAATGAAGGTGAAAGAGGACAAACATTTGTACTGTCAAAGGCAAAAAGACAAAAGAGCTTGCCTCTAGGCAAATGAGGATAACAGAGTTCATCCCTTCAACAAGTATTAACTTCCCCCACCACACATCAAGTGGCAGGGTACATAGCTAGAGAAACAATAATACAAGCCCTGCCTTGAGTCAGTACAATAGGTCAGTGGGAGGCTGGATGACCAGAATGCTGGACATGTTCAATTCTGCAAAATATTTCCCTGTGTTTTCGATGAAGTCTTCCATTCTATTTCCATCTTGTATTCACCCAACTCAAAGTGTAACAGCTACTAGCATTGAAAAAATCTTTCTTCAGGAAGAGCTGAGGTTTAGATAAATCTTTATAAGTGTGAAAAAGCCTGAAATCCTTCTGTTCTAGCTCTTTGAGTAGGCTGTACCAGAACCGCACAACACTGCTGTCACTGCCGCTGACCTCAAACCCAGGCCAGTGAAGATGAATCTCAAAGACGAGCTGTCCAATCTGCTCAAGGACATCTTCCAGAATCAGATTTTCCAAAACTTTCCATTCTGCACTTTCCAGATCTGCCTTGAGAACATCAATCTGTAACACAGCAATGAAATGAAATTAGAAAATTTGATAAACCACTGTTACGTATACTATTTCTATATAAGGAGTTCATTACAATTTGGATCTTAAATTTTTCCCTGGAAACTTGTGCGCTGAAGGTTTGGTCTCCATCACAGCAGTATTCCAAGGTGGGGACTTTCAGAGTTGAATCATGGAGATGCTGGCCTCATAAATGGATTAATTGACTGAAGGATTCATAATCTAATGGACTATTTCAAGGGAAACTTTAGGAGGTGCTGCTTAATTGGAAGAAGAAGAATCACTGGAGAAGGGATGTTCTTGAAGATTATATTTTATTTCTGCCCCTTCCTCAGTCTCTTTCCTTTTCTGCTTCCTGGCTATTTAATGAGCAGCTTGCTCTACTATACGCTCCACACCATGATGCTCTTCCCTATCACAGGCCTGGAAACAATGTAGCCAAGTGGCAATGGACTGAAACTTCTGAAACCATAAGCCAAAATAAAGCTATGATCCTTTAAGTTGATTTTGTGGCAGGTATTTTGCCACAATGGTGGAAATCTGACTATGAAAGTTTCACAGTTCTTCCACAGAAGCAGAATCTTTTAAATTTTAAAGTTGGACCTTGTATTCCTGTCACTCCCAGTGATTTGAAATCCCTAAATCACTTCATACTAAATGTTGATAGTAAGAGCTGGCCAAATAGCTCAGCAGATTAAAGAGCCTGCAAGCAGGTGCAGGGGCTGGGGGTTCGATCCCTGGGTCTGTGCTGGTCCTACCCCCAGGGCACGCTGAGACAGCAATTGGAACTGGGTGTGGTGGCATGTGCCTGTAATCCCAGCACTTGGGAGGCTGTAAACAGGAGAATCACTATGAATCTGAGCTACATAGTGAACCCTGTAGACCCTATAGACTCTTCCCTAAAATACAAATAAATAAATATTGATAGTATATAGATAATAAAATGTTAGATGGCAATCATAACCAATGTTAAGACAAGACAGCAGGACGAGGAACACTCCTGGCAAGGGAGAATCCCAGTACAGTGACCGCCATCATTACTGTACACAGAACCAGAAACTTGCTGTTCTCAGTCCTTCATTTGCATGTGGGAACAACCAATCAACGATACCATTCCTGATCTTTCATTTACAAGAAGTAAGTGGGCCAGGGAGATGGCTCAGTGGAATAAGCACTTCCCTGGCAAGCGCAAGGGTCTGAGTTCAATCCCTGGTTCCACCCCAAAAAAAGAAAAAAGTAAGTTCTTTGATAGATGCGTTTATATGTGGCATGACACCAAGTGAGTGCTTCATATGATTTTCTCAATCCCCTGTTTACATAAAGAAGATATAACCCAGGAATTGTGAGCACAGAAGACCCCTTTCCCTTATCCTCAGGGCCACTGTGAGCCTTTTCATTGGCCCACTCATATTCCACAGAGTATACTTCTTTTCTGCCTTTTTTTTTTTTTTTTTGTGCATCTCATCCAATTCTTTGTTCAGGACACCAAGAACCTGGAAGAAAGCCCCACAAGACCTCTGGCAGCAGACCCTCTTGGTTTCTGCACAGTAAGAAGCTGGAAGACATAGATCATGGAGCTCCATGCCTATGTCTCTCCCCACGATTTGTCCCCCACTTGAGAGAACCCACCATGCCCTGATAGAATGGTGGCCACAGGGAGAGACTGAAGAAGACCACTGCCTGCAGGGATCATCTCATGAGTCTCTTCACCCTTCTCACTTCATCTAGACTAAAAGCCAAGGAAAGAATTCTCAGATATCTGAATCCTTCTCTGTAGAAAAATTACTGTTCTTATCCAGTTGTGACCAGCACAGCAAAGTGCAACTTTAAATATTAGATCATTTTTTTTCCTTTAGAGACAAGTGGCTTTCCTAAACTTCCTCAGGTCTATGCCAAAAATAGCTATCTCCTCCCCTCCACCGCCCAGAAAAATGGACAGAATATGAAGGTTCAGGCCCTGGGAAGCAGGAGCCCAGGTTCCTTCCCACAAGACAGGGAACAGTGAGCTGAAGGTGGCTGGATGTGATAACACATTCTCTTCCTATGTTTCTGCTCTCCTCTGCTCCTTACTGCAGATCCTTATCCCCCCTGTACACAGAGAGATCATGATTTGGGACAAATGGGCCCCTCTATCTCCTTGGAGATAGCTTTATTTTACAAAAATACACAGCTTCTTTAGACGTGGTCAGTGGTCAGCACATGAACCTGAGCATGGAAATTGAGATGGCCAGTAACACTATGCTTTTAAAAGTATATCCTAATATGATATTAAAAAGTAACACAATTCTATGTTCATTTAATGAATATAAGTTTATATCCAAGGTGAGATGGAATAAAGGGAAAAAATGAGATGGTAGGAAAATATTTTGTAGTTAATCCAAGTACAAGCTCCTTCCAGCTGGCTTTTTACAAAATTGGTTAGAATGACAGAACGCTCACTGCCTTCGGAGAGCAATGAAAATAGCACTTGAGGTGTAGCTCAGCAACAAGATCCTAGCATGCACGAGGCCCTGGGTTAATCCCTAGCAACACAC